TGAATGCCTGATTCATTTCTTATGTTAATCTCAGTGTTGTTAAAAAGACATTGAGTTGTTGATAATCTACAAGCTGGTGCAGATCAAATGCTTTTACAGTTTTAGTATTAAGAATTCTATGTACTAATAATTTTTTTGATTATTTTAATTTATTTGATAGAATGTGTAAATTGTAGTGATATATATACGTGACTGTTTAACAAATTATTTTAAACAAATATCATCAACAAATCAATTTCACAATTTTAATTTCTTTAATCTGATGCTGTAGAGAGAGATTCATTGAATATCTTCCAATTCTCATGACCTCCATATGAAACGAACCTTAGAAAATGGGAAAGGCCTGACATTGTTAAATTGTTAAATTAGTCTTTGAAAATGGAAAAGAAGAAAAGAAATAGGCAACCACTCAGAGAGAGAGAGAGAGAGGACATTGTTACTCATAAATAAATAAAGGTCACATAAATTTATTTATATTGTTTTTAAAATAATGACATTATTTGGTTTAATTACTAAAAATAATTAATATTTAATAAAATAATTAATTTTTAAAAATTTATAAACAAATAAAATATTAATCAAATTAAATAAAAATATTATAAGATATTTGATCTTACTAAATTTAAATGTAACCACAACCGTGACATCTATGGTAATAATCACAATTAAATTTATTAAAGATATTAAAATTATCAAATTTTTATTGTATAGTATGTTTAGCTCTCCTCTATTTTTTAAATTAAATATATTATTAATTTAATTATTAAAATTAATTTATAAATAAATACTTATAAATATGACATTTAATTATTTTAAAAAATTTATAAATTTATAAATTTATAAAATTACAAATAAACTTAATATACCTAATAAAATCCTTCACTGGCCGCAACCAACCCACATAACCACCCCCCGAGAGAAACATTTATACGCAGAACCCAAAGAAGAAGCAGTAAATTTGGAAAAAAGGATTTGGTACGTTCCCGAAAAGGAGCATCGGCCAGCTTGACACCCCACGTGGGTCCGTCCGACCTTACCTTTCTTCTGACGCCGGTAATTGCTGACGCGTTTAATACCAGTCATCGGAAAATGGGCAAAAACTTGACTGACCAACTCAGCCTTGTAAAATGTCAACTCCTAAATAAAGTTAAAAATTATTAATCTCGCAATCTTAACCCTAATCATTAAAATTTTTCTTTTTTTTAATTAAGTATATATCTCTGAGTTAGGTCCAGTGAGGACGCAGGAAATTATGTCTGCACAATGCCGTGTGGAGAAGTGAAGATCCGGTCGGTGTCTTCTTCCTTTTTGGGGTGGGCGGCTAGCTCGAAGGTACTGCAGCCTGCAGGTTTTAGTGATATTGTTTGGCCTTTTTTTTTCTTATGCTTGTGTTTTTGAGGACAGCACTCAAGCCAATCCCGGCTCGAGTATATATATAATCTTGAGCCTGGAATGTATCAAAATAAATTATAAATTTTTTTTAACATATGCTTTTATAGTATAATTTTATCAATTATAATATATAGATAATTTTTTTACCAAAAAAATGTAATATATGAATTATTTTAATTAAATAATTATGTAAATAAAAATTATTTTTTATTTTTTAATATAAATTAATATAAAAAATATATAATAATTACACCCTAAAAACATATATTAAAAAAAGTCCTATAAACTATTTACACTGCACTTAGCTCTGCAAACTTGAACGTGTATTGAGATGTTCAATAATAATTTTAAATATATAAAATATAATGCTTGTAATTATTATTTTCTTTTAATTTATTTTTTATTTTTCATTAATTATACTTTTCATAATAAAATAATAATTTTTTATTTTATATCTTATAATATATAAATTAAATATAAAATAAATATATATTTATAATTAATTTACATAAAAAATAACAAAAATTAACCTAAATTTT